CTAGTTCTTAAAAACTAATTGATAGAAGCTGAAACCCACAGAGGTCTGGCGTGGGTTAAACAGCAGACAGACTGGCTGGTTAACGCAGTTGGTTAGAGCGTGGTGCTGAAACCCTAAGGTCAAGGGTTTGGATCCCTATACTAGCCAGCCACCACAAACAAACAAAAAAACAAACAAAAACAAAAAAAGTCCCCCAAAACTCCCAGCACTGGAATTGGTACGATTTCTGAGAAGTTGCTTTGAGGCAGCTGGTCAAATCTTTACTTTTTAGTTAGGAATCAGTCTGATGGTTTTTATTAAATAATCTTTATTGATATCACACAAAGAAATATTCGTTAATAAAAAGCCTATGCAAAAGAAGATCATTCCAGGTTTATACAAGGGTATTGCAAAGTTCATGCGAAGATTCATATTATCTTTTAATTCTGTTTTGCCACGAACTTTTTGAAATACCCTCATATATGCATGGGGTGAAGATGGACTTGTCCTCCATGTTGTGAAATACTATAGTAAGGGTCCCTTTGGAGCTTGAAGTCTATCATTTTAAGATAAATGAGCCTTATTTTATGCAGCAGATAGCAGACTGATGGAATTCATTGCCCCACAAAATGATGGGCATCCCATACAATATGGGCTGATGGTGGGAACCCACATAGATCACAATGTCAGAACCTCCAAGGGGTCAGTGTGGGCAGTGAGGAAGTGACTGGTAACTAAGGTGAATGCCCTGTATTCTGAGGTCCTGGACAAGAGGAGAAACTGTATCTACCTCACTAGCCCGTGGTGCACCAACCACATAGAAAGCATCAGGTGGCCCCACAAGGGTGACGTAGAGTGGCAAAGTCAGGTTCTTTTCTGGATGGCAGGAGACATGGGAGGAGAGCAGGTGGCAGGGCAACACTCACCACATAATCCACGACACCAGCACCATCGTCGCCTCGTTGAAAGCATTGAAGAAACGGATGAGTTCTTCTCCTTCGGAACCTAGTTTCTTTAGGGCCACTCCTAACACCAGGGCAAAAAGGACCAATCCTAAAATGTTCATCCCTTCGATTTCAGTGCCAATTGGGATCTGCAGCATCAGAAGAGATAGGATAGTCCCAGTTTACATCAGATGAGTGAGCATCGAAGATATATTTGCCAGGTGTCTCCACCAGACTGAAACACTGTGCCCAGAATAAGAAAAAGCTCATCTTTTCTTTAGCCTTTAGAGATTTCACAATTAAAAGGGCAAGAAATTTAAGGAGAGATGGAGTCTGAGGATACAGAACGCCAACAAGCAAAAATTTCAACTAGTTGTTAACTCTGAAAGCTGTTCAAAATTGGCATAGGTTAAAGCAGAAAGTAGAGAGCTCCTGTCTCTGGATATATTCAAATAGGGATTGGACAACCACCCCAAAGAGTTGCTTTTAAAAGAAGAGCTGGTTGGTAAAAAGTTCCTTCAGATGAGGAATCAATGATTGTAACTTTGCCTTCAAATATCAACAAACTTTTTTGTGGTTAGGTTCACCTCCTGCTATCAATTTTCAGGATTGACATGAATTTTTTCAGAACATTCTTTCCTGAATCACTGACTCAAATGTATAGACATAATGTATTTATTTTTCCCAGCAGTGCTGAATCTCACTACTGCAAACATATATTAGACATTTTATCCCATTAAAACATGAAATTCTGAACAGGAAACACATGTCAGCATGGTAAAAACAGGAGGAGAATTTTTTGTCGTAGATCTGAGTTCTAGTCCTGGCTCTGATCTTAACTTACTTCTCTGAGCATCAGCTTCTTCATCTACAAGATGAGGTGAATTGAACTAAATTAGTAACTTTCAATTTTTTTTTTAATAAGTAGAACTTTTCCTTCAATCAAAGAAAGGCTGGTAGGCACACCCCTCCTGCGCCTCGGGGCCTGTGCTGGGACCCCGGGGGAATGAAGAAGGGGACTGGATCCCCCTCCCACAACCAGGCACACTGCACCAGTTCCTTGGGGCTCGCACAGGGACCTGGGGTATGGAGAAGGGAACTGGACCTCCCTCCCATAACTAGGCACACCACGCCAGCGCATCAGGACCCTGTCCAGGGACCTGACACATGGAGAAGGGGATGGGACCTCCCTCCCACATCCAGGCACACCTCGCCAGCACCTCAGGACCCACCCAGGGACCAGGGGCATGGAGAAGGGGACTGGAACCCCCTCCCACAACCAGGCACCCCGTGCCAGTGCCTCGGGGCCTGTGCTGGGACCCGGGGCATGGAGAAGGGGACCAGATCCCCCTTCTACCACCAGGCACACTGCACCAGTGCCTTGGGGCCTGCCTGTGGACCTGAGGCATGGAGAAGGGGACCAGACCCTCCTCCCACAACCAGACACCTCACGCCAGCATCTTGGGGCCTGCCCAGGGATCCAAGGCAAGGAGAAGGGGATCGGACCCCCCTCCCACAACCAGGCACACTGTGCCAGCACCTCGGGACTCATTTGGGGACCGGGGAATGGAACCAGGGAATGGAACCAGGGATCGGACACTCTCCACAACCAGGCACGCTGCCAGCACCACGGAGCAGGCCAAAAACATCTCCTCCATGTGGGTGGCCCATCTCAGCCACCACAATAACCATGGCTGCTGTGAAGGCAGCTAGATGCCACAACTACCACGCAGATGGTCTGCCAGCCACTGGAGTGAGTTGACACAAGGAGAGTCACCAGCAGAGATAAAGAAAGGAGGAGGATGTCTGTCTCCACAGAGCCCATTTCATAATGATGGAAGAGACATCTGCTCTATGATAGTATAGGGGGACCTGATCATGCCTCTCAGCATTGGACAGATCATTGGGCAGCAAATCAACAGAGTAACCATTATTCTTTCAGAGGGAGAGAAGAAATCTAGGGTGATGGGGGGCGGGGGAAAGAGGGATGGGGCCTCAGTTCCCTGTCTATGAAGTGGGGATAATAACAATAGCTAATATATAAGGTTGTTATAAAGAATAAATATGTTAATATATGTAAAGTAATTAGACTGCGTCTGGCAAATAAAAACCAATAACAATTAGCTGTGGTTATTTTAATGGGATATTTTGTTGGAGACCACTGTAGGCTCACGCTATCTGAAGTGTGTTTCTCTTACAATGTTATTGTAATCCCATAGACAATAAGACTTCTCAATATCACTGTTCTCTCCTGGAACTTGTTGAAGCTGCAGCAGGTACAGTTTAAAGAGTTGTGGGAAAGAAGACTTGGATTTTAGTGTGCGTGCTCTACTACTAGATTGCAGGGGGACTCTACAGAAGCCAACACGATGAGGATTCTATGAGCTGGATGCCTTAACACGTGGTGTTAACCTTGGGGCTGTCAACTCACACTTTTTGTCCATGTCCCAAGTCCTAACTGGAATTGAAGGGCAAGAATTAATGCAACTAGAGAATTCAATTATGAACCAAAAGTTGGTTTCAGCAGGTGTGCAATTCCAAGATGTGATGTTCAAGGTTAGGCGATTCCAGGTAAGGAAGCAACTGACTGGAGGGCAATGAAATGACTCCCTTTGTGGAGAGGAGGCTGGGCAAGGTGTGCTAGGTTGTAACGCACCTTGGCCAACTTGGCATTGGAATGGGGTTAGAAGACTACAGACACAACCAGAGCTGCATCCTGAGCTGCGCCTCTTGCTGGTGCACCTTTGCCTATTGTTCCCACTGCCTAAATCACTCTTCCCCCAGGTCTCCCCATAGATCCTCCCTCACCTTATCAGAAGGCCTCCCTGACCACCCTGTTAAAACAGCACCCATCACCGTCACCAACACACACACACTTTATCTACTTGCCCTGATTTATTTTTCTTAGCAACTATCACCAGCTGTCCTGTATTTATTTCTTGTATGGTTCCCTCCACTAGAATGTGACCTCAGTAAGAGCAGAGCTTTGTCTCTGTTGAGCGCTACTGTAGTCTAGCACCTAAGGAGAACATACAGTGGTTGCCAAATAAATCACTTTTTAATGACTTAATGATTCGATTAAAGCCTAGGAGGTGTGTGTCTGTGGCAAGTTATTACATGGAATCTAAGTGGGTGCTAAGGGTCAAATGTGTCCCCCAAAAGTTCATATATTGGAAACTTTATCCCCATTGTAAGTTTTAAGTGGGTGGGAAATCTGATTATGGTATTTGAAAGATGGGCCTTTTTTTTTTAATCATAATTGATTATACATATTTTGGGCGTTCAGTGTTGATGTATGTTGATCAAATCAGTATTATTAGCATACACATTATTACAAATTATACTTATTCTTTATGCCCCTTATCCAATCTCTCCCCATTCCCCTCACCCTCCTGTCTCCCACCTCTGATAATCCTAGATTTCTTCTTTCTTTCTGAAAGAGTAACGGTTACTCTGTTGATTTGTTGCCTAGATGATCTGTCCAATGCTGAGAGAGGTGTGCTCAGGTCCCCCACTATTATCGTAGAATAGATGCTTCTTCTAGCACTCTGGAATGGGTTTTGTGGAGAGAGACATCCTCTTCTTTCCTCAAAGGTGGGGCCTTTAAGAGGGGATTGGATTGTGAGGACTGTGCCCTTGTGAATGGATTAATACATCATAGAGTAATGGGTTGATGGTATAATGGGTTGTCACGGGCATAGACTCATGGCTTTATAAGGAGAGCACATAGAAGAGCTCTAGCCAATGCCATTCTCACCATGTAATTACCCTGCATCACCATGGGACCCTGTAGAGAGTTCCCACCCAGAATGTCCTCACCAAACATATCCCCTGGACCATGGACTTCCCAGTCTCCAAAATTGTAAGAAATAAATTTCATTTCTTTATAAATTACCCAGTTTCAGGTATTCTAAGCAACAGAAAACAGACTAATAGAGTGGGCATGGGAGATAGAGCCATGGATCAGGACAGGGGCCTTTCCAGGTGTCCTTGAGCCTCTGGGTCCCTGACTTCTCACTCTGTGTTTTCGTCCATTTTGTGTTGCTATAACAGAATACCTGAGACTGGGTAATTTATAAAGGAAAGAGGTTTATATGGCTTACAATTCTGGGACAGCTGCATCTGGCATGGGCCTCAGGCTGTTTCTACTCATGGTGGAAAAGTGGCAGGCAGCCGGCAGGTACAAGCAGATCATGTGGCAAGAGAGGAAGCAAGAGAGAGAGAGAAGGTACCAGGATCTTTTTAAGCAACGAGCTCTCGCAGGAACTAATAAGCGAGAACTTACTCATTAATCCCTCCTCCCCCAGGGAGAGCATTAATCCATTCATGAGGGATCCGCCGCTATGACTCAATCAATTTCCAACAATGCCATGTTGGGGATCAGATTTCCACATAAGTTTTAGAGGGGACAACACATCCAAACTTCAGCACTGTCACCAACATTCCATCCTCAGGGATAAGGACCACTCCTGCTATGTCTTTACACAATCTTATAGCCACAGGATGTGTGAAAGACTGGAACAAGTGAGGACATACTGCTCTTCTCTTTCTTAAAGCCTGACTCCTTGTACTCCTGGGTTAAATTTATGGTGGAGGCAAAGGCACGTCAGCTGGGGTGGATGCTCACGGGTCACCAGCATTTCCAGTGGGGAAGTCAGAGAATCCAACAAATGCCATGTTTGTCAAAACTTGAAGGTATTGCACAGACAATTAGTGGTCAAAGATTTATTCATCTCAGTTTCAAATAGTATTGATCAACTTTGGAAGACCATCATTTCAAGTAATTTGTAGTGGGGATAATACATCCTACCTGATCAGGTTGTCCTAAGGCTCAAATGAGATGCCATAGGAGAGCATCTGTGCCATAAAGGTGGCATCCAGAGGTGAGCCACTTGCCTAGAGAGTGGGCCTGGCTGACACCCAGACCCCAATGAGCCCAGCTGTGGAGTCCAAGGACTGTCAGAAGAGGGCCCAGTTGGACCTCCAGCCATCCACTCTGGCCAGAGAGTGGGGAGTGACACCCATCCTTTTAAATCAAGGACCATTGATTAAATCGACATTTATGAACAGGGGAGATAACATTCCCTAGGGGAGTTTCGGAATGTGTAGGGGTACTTTGGTTGTCATAATGATTGTGGTGTCTTACTGAGAAGTAGTAGGCAGGGCACTAAGAATGCCAAATGTCCTGAAATGTTCAGGTAACAAAGTGCAGATTTTCCCACACTCCACAGGCTTCTGAGCATCCCACCAGACTTTCATTATAGAGAGGAAAGCCTGTTTACAATTATCTAAGTTAGAGCTAACTCCATTTTACATTTAGTTTTGTTCTGCATAGTTTTAAACACACTGGATTTTCCAAGAATATCAAGTTGATGTAAACTGAAGGAAAATTATTTTGTTCTGAACTTTACCAAGTATTATTTCCATTTCAGAAAATTGCATCACCAATAGCTGAAGAGCTGATAATACCCAAGTCACTAGTATAATACATAATGTCAACCTGCAGCTGTTGCAGTCAGGGTGATTTTATATACCTATACAAATATATTTATTTAGCACTTATTTCAAAATGTATTTTAAAAAAAAGTGCCAAAAATATTTAGTTGGATTCTGCCTCATTGCTGTTAAATCCAAATGTATTCATTCTAAGTAGATGCAAATACCTGAAAACTTCACTGTCTTCTAGTATAATTGTGCATTTACAGTGAAATATGAATTGTTTTATTACAAATAATTTTTATTTCTCTCTCTTGTTGATTTTTGAAAACCTTATATGTGTAGGGACAGGTTAAATCACCTATTAACTATATTTCAGGATAGTAGACGGGTGTTATAAAATATTCTACAGATCCTCTGAGGATTCCAGTGCTACCTGTGCTGGCATTTGGCCATCCAAGAAGCAAACCTAACCAGTGTGCTTCAAACAGTCCACTCAAACCCTACAGTTTTCAACGCTGCTAAGAAAAAGACACATCGTGTATGCTCCTTCAATTACGAAACATTATTTACTATAAAATATTTTTCACAAGTGATTTTATAAAGAGCTTTACCTTCTCGTGGGTTACATTTCCAGAGCTGTTGTTGTGGTTCACCACTTTATAATCGGTTGCATACTGTTATGAAGAGGAAGAAAAACCCACTGTTAGCGCACAGGTGAAGACCAGCCCAGAGGAACCGAGGGCACCGCTGGGCCTCTTGCTACTTCCGTCATTACTCACACCAAGTGTTGGGCATTCCTCACATGGTTGACCTGACAAAGGCTTCTGAGAACTGTACAAAAGTTACACTAAGACCAAGGCAGCATGTCCATCAAGAGGCCTCTGGTTATTTAGGGACCCAAGGAAACAAGAAGAATTTCCTTATGTTTCTTGAACAATGGTTTGAGGGAGAAAAGGTCTGCACAATTTCAAGCGATAGTTTGATATTTCAAAGAGCTGATACTTCAAATTATTTGAATAACCTTGGTATTAATTCTATAATGCCAAAGTTCACTTTTCAACAGGTCATTTGATTTTCATTCATTTATTTATGTCCCACTTTGTTCCAGAACTTATTTGAGCATGGCTGCTTTTTAGCGTCTGTTTCTAATGTGACTTGAGCCTCCACCCTCTAGAGCAAGCGATGACAGGTAGGATGGCATTTTCTGGCTGAGTCTTCTGGGAGACTCACTTATCAGAATGACATAGCTCCAGCTTTGGTCCCACAGTTGACTTCACATGCTTCAGCCGGTGCACACAGGTGATCCCTGTGGCAGTATGCATTATGGTGTAGAATCTGCTAGAACACAGTCCTTCCTCACCCCTTCCAATGGCACCTGGCTCTGAACTGTTAGGAGGAGCCCATTAGGAGGTAGAGACCCAGAGCCTACCTTATGCCTGCATTTGATGAGCTCTGGCTTCTCTCAGTTTTGATTTATCAAGGTTTCAGAAAGGCAGAGGTGTTCAGCTGTCCCATGATCGAGGGTGGCAGGGCAACAAAATGCACCCCACCCCTCTGTGACAGGCACTGAAAGCCCCAGAAATCTATTTTTTCTCCTACCTTACATTATATATACAAGTCACTCCTGTGTTTATATGCAGATTAAAAAAACAAAGATGAGAAAAAGAGCTAGAAACAGAAAAAAGCCTTTGCTTGTAAAAAGCAATCAGATTAAACCATCTAATCTAAATCTTTATATTCCTTCTCTGCATAAAAATGTTACCTGCAGCATTGCTAAGAAAAGGAGAAAACTACAAACAACCTGAAAGTCCATCAACAGGGTACACAGCCATTAACATTATGGAGAAGGATATTTACCGACATCAGAAAATGTTCACAATATACTGCCTTAAAAAAGAGCAGGTTATGAAGCAATGTGTGTAGCATGTGTACATACTAACAAAATGTGTGGTATACTTATTTATAAAACATGTACATGTGTACATGCATACAAAAAACACATCTGAAGGATGCATATCAAAATGTTAACAATAGGTAGCTCTTCTACTTTTTTGTATTTCATTTTTTATTTTGGGGAATGAGCACAAATTACCTTTCTAATCAGAAAAAAGATAAAAATGCATTTTTAAAAAATTCTAAAATATTTGGGACATCCCTAAAATGCGAGTTGAGGGTATTTCTTAGGTGACATAGAAAGATTTTGGAACTAGTGGGACATTTTAGAAGGTTTTGTTTGTTCTTCATTTTTTGTTTGTTGTTTTGTTTTTGTTTCACTCCAGGTACCCCTCTCTAAAAACATATGCCAATGTTACCAAGCTCTGTTAACAACACTTTCCCTTCCTCTTCCACTTTACCTAACTCTATAGCAGTCACTTATACATCACTTCCATCAAAGCCGCATAGTTTTAGCAAAGTATCAAGCCTTACCGTACGGAAAGCTGCGACCACAAGATTGGAGGGAAACAGGTTTCTGTTGGAAAAGAAAGCATTTCATCAGTATTCTTAAAATTCAGGGTGCAAAGTGTCTGCTTTGAGATGTGCATTGCTAGCAGCCTGAGACAGTGTTCTCTCTCTCGCCATCCCCTGCAGATACTACAGCCTTCTAATTCATCTAAGTGCCCCAACTGTGCTCAGCTGCAGGGCCCCAATATCTTGAGTGTACTGATTTTTATCCTTATCTCCCTCGTGGCACTTCTTGATATTTAGGCTCAACTGTGTCCAACCAAATCATAATGGCTGCATTGCTCTCCTTTCACCCAGAGGGTGAGCCCCATGGCAGGGGTTCTCAGTGGCGAGCAGTGCCACTGAAATCTAAGGGAGTTCTTGTTGTCGTAATAACTGAGAGGCGTTACTGGAACTGGAGGAAGAGCATGTGTGGCAATGCCAGGTCCCAGACATTTTGTCCTGCCAAGTGCAGAAAAGTCCTGTACAATGCATTGTCTCGGGGCCCTCACAGCTTTCCAATGTCCTGGATGATATACCTGTAGATAAAAACCTTATTTATAATCATCTGAGCCTAGACTAACTCTAAAACAAGGTATTTTGTTTTTCACAATTTGAATATAGGCTGAATTTTCCAGAAATGCAACTACTGTGTAAATTATGGGATGATAATTTTGTTGTTGTTGTTGTTGTTGTTGTTCTGAATGTTTCCAAGAATTGTTTGTCTTCCTGGAAAATCACACCACTGATGGCAAAATTGTTTTGAAATTATACGTATAGGTAAATTCTATTTATGGATTTCATTTTAGAATGAAGGATATTATAAAACATTTGTTATAAAAGGAGAGCAATAGAGCTGATTGAGCCCAAAATCTATTCAAGCAAACAGTTTTACTTGAGGCCCTCCTTTGGCTCAGGCTCTGTGTAGGATGCTGATCTTGATATACAAGAATTTACATTCCAGCTGACAGTCCATTTGTTCTACCCAATTACTGCAAGAAGTATACGTCTAGAAGAGCAAAAGACTCTGGACCATCCTTTACAATTTGTGCCAGAGACTTATCCACTAATTCTTACTTCTGTGGCTCAGTTGCTCAACTATCACTAGAATCTCCAAACAACTATTTGCAGCACACTGGGTTTCAGGTCTGGCTGCAACCCAACTGTAGCAGGCAGAGCCTACCATGGAGTCCTGGTATTCACCCCTTTGTAGAATCTCTTCTCCTTGAGTGTGGGTGGGGACTATGACTTACCTCTAACTAATAGCATCTAGCAAAGGTGATGGGATATCACTTCAATAATTTTTTGGCACAAAATTGCAGCTTTCATCTTGCTAGGAGACCCTCCTTATTGTCTTCTGAGCTTGCACACTTTGATGAAGCAAGCTGCTATGTTAGGAAGGCCCACATGACAAGAAACGGCAAGTGTCCCCAGGCTAATAGCCAACTAGGAACTGAGGCTCCCAGTCCAAACTTCAAGGACCTGAATTTTGCCAGTTACCACATAACCTTAGAATTGAATTCTTCCCCAGTTGAGCTTCCAGGTGAGACACCAGCCCTGGCTGACACCTTGATTGCAGCCTCATAAGAAATTCTGAGCAGAGGACCAAACTAAGCCATGCCAAGATTCCTGACCCCACAGATACTGTGGAATTTTAAGCTGCTAAATTTGTGGTAATTTGTTATGCAGCAATAGATAACTGATACACCAGCCAACATGGTTAATGAGATGCAAAAATAACTCCATTAAGACATTTAGGGAGCTCTCACAGGATGGCCAGCATTTAGACTGCAACACAACATTTCCCAACCTTACTTGTCTATGAAATCTGAATTGTTTTACATACTTAGAGAATACCAACAAGTACATGCCTGCATTTAAGTGAGAAAAAAGTGATCTTTAGCTGAATAAACAGTTGCAAAATTGTGACCAGAAATTTGATTCTTATCCCAGGTGTACTTACCTATAAATTTTTACCTAGGAACAGACTAGCAACTTGTATTGGCTGGTCTCTAGTGTACAGATGAACAGCAACTTAAGTTTGCCTATTATTTCCATTATAAAGCAACATTCCTACATATTTCAGTCTGTGGGCTAGGTTTGGTATCTCATTTTCATTTACTATACTAGTTGGAAGCAGAAAGGGGCCCCGTGCCAAGATTTCCCTATTCTATACCCCACGTGACAATTCTCAGTAGTTCCCAGGCTGAGATGGCCACAGGGATCTCTCTCCATAAGGACAGGGAAGTTAAAGGGAGAGCCTGGTTAGAAGTCCTCCACATCCCCCATTGGGAACAATTTCCCCTGCAAATATGGAGCATCCTTCAGGGATTAGCTGTTTCCTCACAGCTAATCCCTTTCCCACAGCCTGGAAATGCACTCTCTTCCAAAGAGCACATCACTATTTGTTTAAATCCTTTTATCTGTCCTGCCTGGTCTCTTCATCATGAGCAATGACACAGTACCACCTTACCCAGAATGGGGCCTGACCCTAACCAAGAACTTCTAGAACAAACATACCGATCTGTTTTCAGACCGTCTGCAATATTGAATCTACAAAATCCAATAGGAACAGAGAGGTGCAGATAATACTAGCAGCAAAATGAAAACTCCTGCCAAAAAAATCAAGTTCCTAAGAAGAACATGATGTGTTTGGCAGTTTCTCGTAAAGTTAAACATACGCTTACCATATGAACCAGCAATTCCATTCCTAGATATTTACCCAGGAGAAATGAAAATATATGTCTGCAAAAAGATCCTGTATGCATAATGGCATTATTCATAATACTCCAAAATCCACATGTCCATCCACAGATGAATGGATAAACAGATTGTGATAAATCCATATAGTGGAATGCCACTTGGCAATAAAAAGGAACCAACTATTGATATATACAACAACATGGATAATCTCAACAACACTGTGCTGAGCAAAAGAAGCCAAAGAAAAGAACTTATCAATTGATTCCACTGACACGAAACTCTAGAAAAAGCAAAACTAATTTATAGTGATAAAAAGCAGATTGGCTGCTTGGGGGCAGGGGTGGAAAATGCTGAAGAGAGTTATGGGTGATGGAAATGTCCAGTATTGTGATTATGGTGGTGGTTGCATGATTGTCCATTTGTCAAAACTCATCGAACTGTACCCCTGAAACAGGTGCATTTTACTGTATGTAAAATTGCTTTAAAAGTAAAATAAGATACAGTGATAACTGTGAAAGATTTTACAATCAAAAAGTACATACATCCAATGGGATCACTGAACTTTCTTTAGATTATATATAGCTCAGTTCTCAGACATAAAAATCTCTAGGAAGGATTCACTGAGGGCAGAGCTGAAGCTTAGGCACTCACAAACAACATACTCCTTTCACTGGGTCCCTGTGGTTGCCACGGACCAGGAGCAGGAGCAGTTCCCTCCCGCCGGCAGCGAGGGTGAGGAGCTGACTGCAGGAGTACAGCAGAACATTTCTCTGGACTCTTCTTTCCCTTCTCTTTTGGCTTTCAAACACATGCTGCAGTGAACTCTGGCTTTTTCTTGCTCCTGAGCTCTCCTGTATTCTGAGATCAGCTGCTCCTCATGCCAGCAGTTTTGCTCCCCAGAGCTCTGTCTTCAAGTACTTTCCCCTTATATTCACACGGGAACTTTGTGGGCTTCTGAAATGAAGAACATTGAGCTGGAAGGGATTTTAGAGATGACCCAGTTCAATCCCCTCATTTAGAGACACTGTGCCCAGTCATTAGGTTGATACATCTCGCATTCATGCTCCATGTAGATCAGCACTGTCTAATAGAAATGTCGATATTTGTGTTGTCCAGTATGGTGGCCATATGGCTACTGAGCACTTGAACTGTGGCTAGTGCTACTGAGAAACTAAATTTTAAATTTTATTTACATTTAAACTAATTAAATCTAAATAAGCACACATGGCTTGTGTTTGCCATACAGGACAGCACGGGTGTAGAGTTTTGAGATCCAGAGCCTGGAAGTCAGAAGAACCAAACGGTCTTCCTATGCTCACCTCTGTACATCACTCAATTTCACTGGACATTACAATGCTTCTAATCACTGAGTTCTTTATCTTATCCATGTTCACAAACATTTCCTTTTCTTGTTGCTTGATCCTCAGATAGTTACTTGAATTATATAATACAACATAGGCATTAGACAAAAGTTTCTCAAACTTTAGTAGGCCATGAGATCAATTTATTGGCTTTAACCAGCATTTTATAAAAGATGAAATACATTAGACAGAATGGAAAATATTAACATACACTTAAAATACTGTTTGGTGTTACTTGTTTTTCAGTTTGTATATGTAGGGGTGAGGGTGGAAGGTGTATGTGTGTGGTTGCCATAATGTAAAATGTATTTCTTATCGTGGGTCAAAGTCAAAAACATGCAAAAACGCCAAGACTGTGCTACTAAATCCAGAGACCCAAATCAGATAGATTGGGAGAGAATGAATGGGCAAGGCTTTCCAGTGCTATAAGAATCTTTGGATACATTACTTAAACAAACAAACAGAGAAACTGGTGTGAGATGAGGCTGAACATGCAGATGTAGAACTGCTGTAGGGGGTGCCATACAGATTCATGCAGTTGACCCAATGAAAAACTTCAAAAATGTTCCTTCTTTATACATCCGGTCCTGTTTGTTCTTCTGATCCTATTTTCAAGGGTGGTATGCATTTCCCTGTTCTATATGAGAAGAATGCAAAACAATTTACTTTTGCTTAGGTATATATTTTTTTTGTTCCAGAAGTATTTCCTTTTATTTAAGTTAAAAATTCTTTACCAAATCTATGAAAATTTCGAAGACTCTTCAGAAATATGCATTTCCCTGTTCTATATGAGAAGAATGCAAAACAATTTACTTTTGCTTAGGTATATAGTTTTTTTGTTCCAGAAGTATTTCCTTTTATTTAAGTTAAAAATTCTTTACCAAATCTATGAAAATTTCGAAGACTCTTCAGAACAGGATGTGGCACAGTAGGTATACCCGATAAATATTTATTATCCTTAGTG